GATAAATAAAAAACAGCTGTCATGGTTGGTTTTGTTTTATAGAAATGTTAAAAATACTAGACTATATACCATTACATATTCTGGAAACTGCTAAACAAGGCCTGGCTGATGGTACTGCTGGTGTTTTCTCCAGCATAGAATATTTTGCACATGTTGAATGTGTTCATTTCATTAAATTTCCAATGCTGAATTGCATTTTTTTATACTGACAACTATAGGCCAATTATTATCAAATAAAATACAACACAGCATTGAATAAAATACAACTTGTTGCATTGAATTACGATAACATAAATACACAGTGTGAACAAAACCTTAGTGTCCAGAGCAGAAGTTTGAAAAGGTATATAATATACAAAGCAAATGGGTACTAAAATCCAAAACCATAATTTTCTTATGCGTATAAATATGCTGATATTCATGAACCAATCGAGTTACTACTCATGGTCTATCCTTAAAATATGAACCAAATCTAAAGGATTCTATCCTGTCATCTATATTCTACTGTTTGTGGAATAATGAAATTTAATTTGAAATGTTTTGAGGTGAGAGTGGTTGAATAATCAGTTCTTAATGTATTCCAGGTCAATACATTTTGACAATTACTGCAAATTTAGGTCACTTCAAAAGTTTCTGGTAAGATTGGGTGAGGAGGCAAGGTGGTTAAGCCAAAGCAAAAATTTTAACAGTGAGCTGCATGTTTGAGACCTTAGCAAGCTGTGAATATTCAGAGATGTTGAGAATTGGTGACAGGCCTACAGCCTAATGAATGCTGAAACTGCTATTATATTTTAATTATTTATAATTAACTTTTCTATGCATGTTACTGGCTCTCCTCAGGCCATTTGTGAGTAAAATCCCTCCAAAACCTGCTCAGTCCATTCTTTATCTGCGGTAAATATTTGCTCGTAACCATGCATTATTTCTGCATCTCAAACTTTTAAACATTTATACATGGTACTCGTCATGTTTGGCAATTATCTGAACAGTTACTGGGATTTTTCTAATTTTTAGAAAGAGTCTTCTCCTTATAAAAAAGTTTATTCCATCATGAGCTTGAGCTTACATGAAAGGTGTGATAAGCTAAGTTATGTTTTGTAGGTCCAGCTCCACTGTGAGCTTGTATGCAATTGGGGGGAATCTGTGTCAAGATCACTCATCAGAGAGTGCATGGCATATTAAGTTTTAGAATACATTTCTAAGTTGACAAAGCTTCAAAATTCATTCAACTAATAGAAAAAATCACAAGTTAAACTCCTAAGTCATTTTTTATGGAAGTTCTGGTTTAATGATCCGTTAAATGAACAAGGTATTGTTAAATTAGTTTAATATAGTAAATAGTTAGATGCATTTGGGAAGCAAAATATTCAATGTACCTAGTAGCTTGTAATAGTCACCAAATTGTGGCAGGACTCTAAAAACAAAAACCTATATCCATGACTGTGGCTACTCCCTACCAAAATATTAATCTTTCTCTTCATTGTGGACTGGATAGATTTGCATTAGGTGGGGGAAATCAAACTGCAAAAAGACAACATTTTACTGATTATTTTGTTTATAGGTTTGTCCTTATTTCCTTATAACTCATTCCTTCTTATCAGCAAAATTGATCAAAACATGCTCCTCTTTGAACCATCTGTTCAGTTTTTATTTATTTTTACAATGTTTCAGTACCTAATTTATAAAATCAATCTTCTCATTTTTGGCTCAAATGACCATCATTGGTGACTGAAACATTTACTTTAATATATTATTTAAATATTTACTTGTTTTTCCTCTTAATTGAAGAAACTTGATTCATAAAATTGTAGAATTTTGCTCAATATTCCAAAATACTGGGAATAGTGAGGAGTTGTTTAGCAAGATTTTTCAACCCAAAAGCTGGGAAATAATAAACTTGTTCTTATAATATTAATATTAATGAAAAAATTGTATAAAAATTATATGGATCACTATTTCTTTGCATTTTGGTTTGGTAGTCAGCAAGATCTTCTTAATCTGCAAGTATAACAACTCTTGAATTCAAATAATCAAGTTTTCCCAGTGGGTTATGTAACAGCCTATTTTCAATATTACCGTAAGTAACTGCATGAGCTTATGAGACCACTCTGATCTTAAGACATACCAGTACCTAACACAGTCAGTGGTGACCAGCTGAGCATGACTCAATTGCCTGAAATTTTAATTTTTAAGAGAAGCCAGAAGTGCTTTTGATGGTAGCGAGCACTTGGCCATCACTGTTTTGTATTCATGAAAATATATTAATGAGCAATGAAGAGTTTTCTTAGAAGCAAGCAATATTGAGGTTCCATTGAAATAGATGATGTTGCCATTATGTTAGTGATACCCATATCTTGTGTTACACTTAGTCAACTTGTACTGTACAATGGAATGAAAGACCCCAACCATAGAGGCACATAAAATTGACTAGTGTAATTTGTATGGAATTTTTTCTATCTGGTGCAAGTGTTGTCAGAATAAAGAAGGGAAAGCTATATATATGCAAGTTTTATTGACATCTTTGATTACACGCGTACTATATTGACCTGTTCATAGTTCTTGACCACACAGTCACCTCACAAATTTTTACTACAATTTTCACACCTAGTGGCCATCATCGAATCCCTAATTTGCTGCTCTACCAAGCTCATAGAAGCAATCAATGTATACACTTTTCTGGTCAAATGCTTCCAACAGTTGCAGTTTTGTCTTGAAACATGAATGACATGAATTGTATCTGATTACCAGGCACTAACTGATAACCTCATGTCTCAGCTGGCTGTTGTGTGGCAATGTTTCAATTAACTTTGCTTGGTATGAAGCATGGACTTCTTCAAGGCAAATTTTCATTGCAGATTGCAACTGAGTGATTTGAGTTTCCAAACAACGTTGAAATCATGCAAGGTCTGCTTGCCTTTTCACTACCTCATTAATTTCATTAAATTTGGATTCCCAAAGATAAGGTCATAATAGTTTGCACTCCATGGTGTATAAAATTTCCTGTAACAGTATAGGCTGATAATGACTTTAATTCCAGCATGCAAGTGCTGTCTCTTATACACATCTAGATGTGTATAAGAGACAGCTTCAGTCTCTTGCATGCAGCATCACCCATGTTGGCCAATAATGTGGCCATGTCATCTATGTCATACATCAAAATTGTCAAAAGACTCAAAGCATCATGTGTAGATATTTTTCTGATTAGACCCCAAGAGTCAAGACCAATATAAGCCTGGCCCAGCAATACAGCACTGCCCTAAGTGCCCGTTACCCATGATTTAGCAGGTCATCATATCTGGCTACACAGCTGAGTGACTTGTGAAACTATATATTTTTGTATCTGCCTAAAGCTTTCATTTCCATCTTTTTGATTGGAATTTCAAGTTTCAACTGNCTCATGCATCATAACTCCTTCAATAACTCATGCATCATAACTCCTTCAATAACTCATGCATCATAACTCCTTCAATAACTCATGCATCATAACTCATTCTAGAAGGACATCTGACACCCCCTGGGGTAATAAGGGACACCGCTAAAAACACATTTACAGTAGAACCTCAGCTAGCCAAGGCTCCAGTTAACCAAAAAATCAATTAACAACAAAAAATTTTGATTACATTTACCTCACTCAGTGAAGAAAATTTCACTGGTAAGTTGGAGTTGCTTATAGAAATTAATGCATCATTGGTCATCACAAATTTGTGTATAGAATATCATTGATAGAATTGTGCACCGGACAACATAGAATGAAAAGTAATTAACCAAGACTATGATTTATTTCTCCAAAAAATATTATGGTTGTCATTAAAATACACCTTTCTGTTTCAGGTATGTTTTTACAATCTCTTTTTGTTATAGTGAAATCATTTTACCCAATAAAAATGGTGTGAAATTACAAGCTGTCCTGTATGCTTACAGATACAGAAGAAATGCTACATGGCTGCTGATATGAAGCTTGCAGTGGACAAGGTCGCTGTAAATGTTCAATGGCATGTCCATGGATATGGTAATATCACATCGATATACGATAATGTATGGATATGGTATTATATCAATAAAGGAAACACAAATAAAAATCACAGAAAAGGTCATTTATTCTACATTTACATCTACAAAGGAAGATGTGGACTTTGGAGTACTGTTAGTAATGGATGAGTATACACTTTGCATGCTTCAAACGTTTTAAAAATTGAGCTTTATTTCAAGTGTTCCTGATTACCCCGTTCCCTGGGGTAATTTGGGACGCTTTTATTTTGCGTCTGACACCTTACGAATAGCATGTAGAATTTTTTTGGAGATGCCATTCAATAGCCCTCGTAATTAAAGCGCTTTAAATGAGCCTAAACTTGTTTGTGAAATTTTTCATGGTAAGAAGTTATTAACAAAAAACGCTCAAAACTGTCCCTTATTACCTCATTTGACGGTAGCAAGTGTATTTTAGTTGACATATTGATCCTGCACAAAAAATATATAATGGTGCTTTAGGTAGAAACAGATAGGATGATCATAATGATGAAATGAATGATTGGCTTAATATATTTAGCAAGAGTAGGAAATTATTTGAAAAATGAAGAAAAAGTTAGGTATGATGAGTGAAATTATTTAAAAAAAAATGATACAGTATTGAATATAGAATTAATTTTTATTTTATTTATTTTAACCATTACATTTCCTCAGTAATCCCATTTATCTGTAGGTTCCTGAATTCTAAGATAGATGTTAAATGTGATAACTACAAACCTGCATTAATGGGTGGAAGGTCCAAGCTTGGAAGGTGAAAATATTTTAACAATATGAACACCCTGTTGGTGTCCATATAATTCTTAAAATATTTTTTTAATAACCCAGGGTATAGGTTATTCTTATATTCATTTTAATGAATATAAGAATAACCTATACAGGGAATTGTAGTAATTGCACAGGTAATTTTAGGAAACAGTCTCATTGATATGTACCTATTATTTTCCATTTATTTTATTGACATTTTTATTTTCAGGTTATAATTTTTTCATGACCCACCATCAAATGTAAACTTGAAAGTTTGTGTTAAGGAAATCAAAAATTTCTCTAACAGTATAGTTTAATTGAATATTGAAATTCTAATAACAAAATTATTACCCCTTATTTTAAATGGCCTCAGTAATTTTTGTGTGTGAAGTTTGCATGTGTGTTTGCATTACAAGCTTACTTAATTAAAATTTCTGGAACAAAGAGCTGTCCTAAATGCAGGAAGAAAATTGACAAGCCTGCTAATGTATTGTTGGTTAACTACGTATTGATTCTCTTGAAGAACAAGGCATGTAAAGGGAAACAACCCCCAGAGTCAGAGCATCTCTTCTCTCAGCACAAGAGGCATCTGGATTACCTGCATGTAAACTGCATTAAACTCGTGTGTTTTACATGCACTAGAAGCATTTATGGTGTGGATGCCCCGCTCCAGAACGGTGATGTGGACTCAAAGGCCAAAATAAGGTCCTTAATGATAGAAAAATTTCAGTGACAGAAGAAAAATTTTCAGGTTTCTAGCGGTACTTTGGATTTGATGGATGATATCATGGATCTGAGGACTACTGTGGCGAGATGGGATGCTTCTCTTCATGATCAAATAATGTCAACCAGTGAAGATTTCAAGGCTTGGGACAACTTGGCTTCTGTGTTGGCAAAAAAGTGTAAAATGCGAGGAAATTCTACCTCGTCTGAAATCATAACCTTCAGGAAATACCTATGTTACCTGAAATCAAAAGGCTGCTGGATTATGCAAACCTGACTTGTAATTTGCAAAAGGTGAGTGAATTACTTTGGATTGGATCCAATATCTGATTGAATTAGATTATTGCTATGATAAATCAGAAACTTTTGCTTCTAAGTTTAGCAATCGAGCTTCTTGCCAGAGAAATACTGAGATCTAGAAAAAGGGTTAATCTGCAATACTGATCATACTCAAAACTTTATAGTGTTCAGTCCTGAAGAAACAAATTATCAATGAGGCTTATTTCTGACAAGTATGTGGTATTGAAAACCATGATATCTTGTGTATCTTAGCCAAATAACTGGTCATGAGCCAGTTAATATGTAAAATATATGTAATAATTAAATTACTCTAGACTTGAAAATATCAGAATTTTCATATGGTTTTGCACAGATAAACACATTTGGTTTATTATTATATTTACTCAATGAAAGGGAACTTGACAGATGAATATCCTTCACGTGTAAACTATTGACAGATACACAACACTCAGCTTGAGCTCATGCCGAATGGGAAATTGTGGACCGTCACTGACTATGCTTGTGAAGAACAAGCTACTGCAAGCTTGTTGCACAAGAGGATGCCGAGTCACGTCCTGGTGATATCAACACAGACAAGACCCATCTCAGGACTTGATGCCCATGGCCTCCTGGCGAATGTCACATAGCCTGATGGATGAAGATATAGGGACTATCATCACTTCACCACAGAATTTGGGTAAAGGAATTTCTTCATACCTTTTGCCATGCTAATAATACTTTAATATATAAAATCGAAATTAAATTCTGTATTAATATGTAAAAGGCTGTTAAAATTTTTGACTGGTGACATTCACTAATTCTCTCTTCATCTCTGGTTACAGAAACCATCTCATGGACCTGTATGGCACTCCCGACCATATCCTGGCACACAGTAACATTGGGAAGCGTGCGCCATGCAGTATTGGTGTTCGCCTTGCCAGCCTCTGAGACATAGAGCGCTGTTTAGAACTTATGGGACCAATGGGTAAGTTTGATATTACCTGAAGGCTGTACGACATTTTTGCTTATTTCCATAAGTAGTTTGTTATAAAATATAAATATAATATTACATCCTGATACAAAATATGTGAAATAATTCTTCCTAAAGAAAATGAGGTTAATAGTGCAGTGTGACATGTATTAAAATTTTTTTGTTCCTGAACTACTGGGAAAATGTTCCTGATCGAATTAAGCAGCTTGTGAAACATTTTGAAACAAGCATAATTATCTTCATTAGTGTTGAGACACCTACCACATTCTTGCCCGTTGAGACACCTAGTCATGCTCGTTAACACTATCAAATGTGAATTGTAAATGTACTCAGAATAAACCAGCTTCTGAGATCTTGTTCTCACCCGAAAATGGTGCAGAGGTATTGTAATACTCATGTGATAAATTTGACACTGCATTACTACTTGAGTTGCTTATAAAACTCCATAGTATGAGCTAATTTATTATAGTGAATCGGTAGCTAAGATGGGAAGCTACGATTTATTTGAGTGAAGAGACGCTGAGTGTGCAGGTATATACATACGTATATGAGAGAGGACGAGTGTTTTTGAGTGAAGTAAACATTGGCAAATACAGCTATAATGCAGCACGATATCTGCACATGAATTTTCTGTATTGTAGCCAACTGAAGAGATGCAGTTGTAATATACTGGCATATAATAGAATGTTGAGTGACCACATCAATCGCCATTTCCCTATATATATCGTAGACTGTGCTACTGTTTCCAATTTTTTTAATAATGCCCAATTACCACAATTCTGAATATTGTTATGCAAACTCTTGTCAGAAAAAATATGATAAATCAGAAAAAAAACATTACATTTTATTAAAATACTTTTTGTTAACATGATTTCAGAGATTCTTTTTAGCTTCATTACTTGTATAGGGAAGTGTAATAAATGTTGTCAGGAAGTTGATGCATTTTCAATAAATTCGAACCATCAAATTTATTAGTTCGAAATTTTTAGATCTGTTCTTCTTAGTAGCCCTACATAATAATCTTGTCTTGTGAAGTATCAGTATGTATTCTTTTTAATGCTGGCATTTCACTGGGGCTGGAAAAATGTATCATTATTTTATAAATTAACGCTTCCAGATTTCTATGCAAATTCATTAATTTGATTCTTTTCAGACTGCGAGGGCATGGTGATGGAGGACCTGGCAGTGGACTGTTGGTGGATAGTGATGAAGGATGGAGGATAGTGCGGAGGATAGTTCTGGTGGTCGATGGAGGTCCGAGGAACAGACCCCAAAATTACAGACCTGTGACCTTGACCTCACATGCGATCAAGGTTTTTGAGAAGGTAGTGGTCAGGAGACTTGTCCGGTATATGGAAGAGGCTGATCTGTATAATAACGGACAACATGGCTTCCGGCGTAATCGTTCCTGTTTGTCGCAGTTACTGGAACACCATCACCGTCTTGTGGCCCATCTGGGGGAGGGAGCTGGCGTGGACGTGGTATACCTAGACTTTGATAAAGCCTTTGACAAAGTTGACCATGGGGTGCTCTTCGGAAAGATGAGACCCTTGACCTTGAGGGTAGGAGGAAACCTGTTAGAGTGGATTCACAACTTCCATAAAAATAGAGTACAAGCTGCCTCAATTGGAAATTCGAAATCGAGAAAAGCGAAGGTGAAAAGCGGAGTGCCACAGGGCTCAGTGCTTGGACCGATCCTCTTCCTCACCCACATAGCCGATATCTACTCGGAGCTTACTCACGCATCTATATCGTCATTTGCGGACTATACAAGAGTGCTGATGAAGATCACAGATGACCTAGACTGCGAGAGGTTACAGGATGACTTGTCGAGAATCTACGATTGGGCCCTAGTGAACAATCTGCAGTTCAACGGCACCAGATCGAAGTAATGAGATACAGAGTCCGCACACAGATCGGGATGCCACATCGCTACTTGGCATCAGATGGCACAGAAATTGAGGAGAAGCAACTAGTTCGAGATCTCGGAGTGTTGATGAGTACTGAAGCCACGTTTGATGTCCATATCGAGGAAATAGTCGCGCAAAGCCGACTACGGATGGGGTGGATCAAGCGGACATTTAGAACGAGAGAAGCAGCACCAATGATTACACTCTTCAGAGCCCTCGTGCTCTCCAATCTTGAGTATTGCTGCCAACTTTGGGCGACACTAAAGGCGGGTGCGGTGCGGAAACTGGGTGCAGTGCAGCGGACCTTCACGTCCAGGATCAGCGGCATGAGGGAGCTGAACCTGAACTACTGGGGAAGATTGAAGCACCTGGGACTAGAGAGGAATAGAGTAAGGTATATCATACTGTACACTTGGAAGATGATAACCGGACTGGCTCCCAACCTTGAGAGTGAGACATCCAAAATAGTGACCTATTACAACGAAAGGAAAGGGAGACTGTGCAGGATTCCTCCATTTAATAACCGAGCCGCGGCCAGAGTACAGACTCTTCGTGAGGGATCACTGTCCGTTGCAGGACCGAGGCTCTTTAATGCCTTGCCAAAAGTGCTGAGAGGAGGGATTTCGCCCCTGCAACATTCAAGAGACGACTGGACAATTGGTTGAGAAAGATCCCGGATTGCCCAGTTATGGGAAGCTACCCTCAGCAAGTGACAAGCAACAGCATACTGCATCAGCTGGCCCAAAGGAGGGCAAATATATAGAACACGTCCAACGTTACATCCGGGACCCCAGGGCGGGGTGACCTGCCTAGCGACGACTCGGAGACGGAGGACGACGAAGGCGGCGCATCAGCGTGACCGGGGACTCGGAAGTTTCAAACTCATCATAAGGTCATAAGGGAAGTGGTGGTGGAAGGTCGTGGGTGAAGAAGCTATATAAGGTGGGTGAATGGCAGGCTCCTTGTGGGACGTCAGTGTGCAGTTGTAGGGGAGGACCTATGTGGTATCCCATCCTGATCGAAGCTGTTCTATTTGTGAGGTAGTTTGCTAGTGTTTTTGTAAAGGAGGGATGGAAGTTGAGATGCATTGGTTTATTTTGGAGTCCGGTGTGCCAGATCTTGTCGAAGGCCTTGGTCACATCACGGAGCACTATGTCCATGGTATGTCTTAGGGATAGATGTATGGCGAGTGTTTCATGGAATGTTGCTAACGCCGTGTGAGTCCCTCTGTGTCTCCTGAAACCGTGTTGTCTAGTGCTGTGAATGTTGTTAAATGTGAGGTGTTCGTATACTCTATTGTTAAGCATTTATTTAATAGCTTTCCTTGTATGTCTAATAGTGAAATCGGTCTGTAATTCTGCACTTGGTGTTGTGAGGTATTGGGCTTCGGGAGGAAAATCACTGTCACGTTTGAGTGAGTCGCGAAATATCCGGCCGATATGGAATGGTTGTATATGTATAACAGGTAGTGTATCATGTTTTTGGGGAGATGCTTGAGCTGAAGGGTAGTGATACTAGTGGGGCCTGGTGCTTTCTGTTGGAATGTTTTCAGAGTGCGCTGTAATTCTTTGATAGTTATGGGTGGGAAATCCACTGGGTGGAGTCGGGTTAAGTTTCCGCGATTATATGAATGGATGAGGCGTATATTGTTGTTTAGGTGGTTTTGTACGGTGCGGATGTGTTCAATGGCGAAAACTTTATTGTGTATGTCGTCCTGAGCGAATATGTCCTGCCAGTGTTTACGGAATATGGGTTCTTTTTGTTCTGTTGTCATGTTGTATATTATCATGTTTAAGGTAGGTGACAGCTTGTTTTGTGTTGGAACCCAGCATGCGCTATAGGGAGGACCAGAATTTCTTGGGGTCTGTTTGTGTTTCTGAAGAGTTGAGGTCTTGCCATGTCTGTGTTTGGAGGAGTCTGTATGTAGTTTGTAGCTGTTCTCTTAGGGATATGAGTTGTCGGTTAAGTGCTAGTGACGAGCCGTGTGTGCGAATGTACTGAAGAGTGGATTGGTATTGTGTTTGTATAAGGAGTGTTTCGTGAGTTGGTTTAATACCGGGAATTATTCGATGTGTTATGGTCGGAATTGAAGTTTTGGTGGCGTCTTGTACGTGTTTTGTCCAGTTTTTTAAGTGTGTATCTATTTCTTCTAGTGTCGGGTCAGGCTGTGTGGGAACTGCGTGTTGTGATAGAGTTTGCTTGTATAAGGTCCAGTTTGCTCTAAAGTATGATCTGCGAGGACGAATCGGTATTTGAATGGGATTTGCTGATATGGTGGCTATTACGGGAATGTGATCGGACGGTGTGATGGGTCCAGGCTTCAGGTGTATGTTATGGAATGCTTTATTGTTGTGTAAGACTCTGTCTGGTGTTGTGGTGCTGTTGTGAGTTATGGTGGTGGGAAAGTAGGGGCCGATATGGGTGCATTTTCGCTGGGCTATCAATGAGTGTAGTTGTCTGCCTATGTGGTTGGAGTCGCGGTTTCCTAGTGTTGTGTGCTTTGCGTTCAAATCGGCCATTAGGTACACGGGATGGGGTCTGTTCAGTAAAGTGTGGAAGTCGATATAGTTAATGTAGTTTGCGCGTGGTGGGATGTACGTTGTTCCTAATGTGATGGGTCCTTGTTGGGTGTCTACTGTGATGGCTAGCATGTCTGTATAAAAATTATCGTGAAGTTTATAAGGAATGTGACGTTTAATTGCTATGGCAGCGCCAGCGTGTATTGTGTTTTCTTTGTTAGAGCTATGGACACTATAGTTGAATAAATTAATCGGGGTGTTGTGGTCTGTGATAGAGTGGTTGTTGATTAGTATGATGTCTGGATCGCTGTTATAAATGTTTGCTCAGGTAAATTTTTTGTTGCGCCACTGTCGGACATTGTGTTGTAGTATTTTAAGTGAGGAATGCGGGGTCATTGTGGAGGTGTAAACGTGGATTGTTTTTTTTTTGTGGTTATGGTTGAGTGCCTGTCCATGGTTAAGAAGGTGTCGAGAGGGATGATGCTAAATTGTGTGTCTATTGAATTTTAGTTTGTTGCGTCTCATTTCGTCGAATATTTTGGAGGAGTCCAGGTCTTTCACCGAGAGCTTCAGTCCGTATTCTTTCTTCCGTACCGTAGTTCGTCAATGTACCAGATGTTATTAGGTGCTGCAGGGACTGGGTTGGGGTCTTTGTCGCTCCTAAACAGTCTGACTGGTGTTGGTTCGTCGTGTCCGGATATAGAGATGGGTGATTCTTTGTATTGTTCGTCACTCACTTTACGTTTTATTTGGTCGAAGTATTCGTAATGGGTTTTGGTGGTAAAAGGTCGTTCTTTGGAATTTATTATTCTGTCTGCCTTTCTGTTCGAGGATCGTCTCGTGTCGTCGTCATCAATGAATTCGGTTCTGAGAAACGCGGTCATCGTATCTGCAGATTGAAGTCGTTTTCTGAGTGTATTTTATTCTCGTCGTGGTTGTAGAAAAAGTTAAGTATCTTGGCTGAGTCACGGTCGGGGAATGTTGCGTCGATGTCATAGTTGGCTTTCAGTTATTTTGAGAGAATAGATCCGAAACCTTCCTCTTACGCATGGCTAGCTACATGTGCTTCTAGGATTATTGCTGTTAGTTTGATTTGCGTCGTGTTGGTGAGAGTGAGGCTGTGTTGAGGGACATTGGTCTGTTGATTGCATACTTAGTTATTTCAGCGTATGTTTATTGCGCTTTTATTATTTCTTGGCCCTGTTTTGCTTTTTCTTTGTTCATGATAATTTCTTTCCTGTACGGGCAGTTGGCGGCAAGTGTTCTATGTTCTTGGTGGCAGTTGAGGCATTTTTTGCAGATGCTGTTACATCGTGTGTATATGTGGTCGTGGGATGAGCATTCAGAACAGGACGGTATGGTGCTGGTGCATAGATGGGTGGGGTGGTCTTCAAACTTGTGTGTATTGAGCATATGAGGATGTGTGTGTATTTCTCCTGTTCGCATTGAGTTGGTGTGATTCTGGTGTTGAACATGGAGAATCCGTCGGTGAGTATGCGCTGTGCGATTATGGTGTCAGTTGTGATTATTTTTTATTGCATGGGTGTAGTCCTTGATTTTGATGACGTCCTGAATCTGTATCCAGTTTTGAAGTCTCGTAATCTCGTCTTTGATTTCGGTCGGTATCTTTTTTCCAAAGTCCCTGTCCAGTTGTCTAACAAATATGGTTAGTTTGGATCGTAAGTCTGGGGGTATTATAGGTTGTAAGTTGATTTTTCTGAATCTAAAACTGATCTGAACTGAAACCTAAAACTGATCCTTTGTTCGTGTATGGATAGTGGGTGTTGTCTATGAAAATGTCGGAAAAGTGTTTCACTTAATGATAGGTATGGTTTTAAATTTATGTTTATCCTTATGAGCCATTTGT